GACATATTCAATCAACGCACCTTAACCCGTATGCATGTGTTCATACATGTACCAATATTTACTAAGGTGCAAAATAGTTTATATACACATAACCATGTTTGTGTTTGCAATTTCAGTTATGTATACAGAAATGTGTATGCGTGCATGTATGCATGCATGTCTGTATGTGTGAAGTTGTATAGAGTGAGAGGCCTCCCCACTTTCTCCTGTGCCATGTCTGTGTGGCTCAACATCATGAGCACTTTGTGCAGTAGGCGGAAAGAGGTCGTGACTTTCAGGGTTACGTTGATCTGAAGCTGAGCGTGCAGTGCCCTAACAGCGTACTTTCGCAGTATGTCTGCATGTCTATATGTATGTATTTATGTCTGTATGTATGTACGCATGTATGTATACATGCGTTTTTTTACATTTGATTCTGCCTGTAATTATGTATGTGCGTATGTATATCGAGAGATCAGCACGTGCTCATAATTGATAGTTGTAGAGTTAATCTGTCTTGTAAGGTTTGGGCCTCAGAGTACAGGCGCACCGGTTGCTGTTGTTACTTCAGACTTTCGTGGGAAACAACAGCCGGAAACAAACTAGTATCAGTCTCACACTATAGTATACTATACTAGACTGTACTATACCATACTGCACCATATTCTTCTATATCTATACGATGCTGTACTAGACTATGCTATATGTCACACATACTATACTACACTACACTACAGTATACTATGCTACGCTATACTATACCAAGCTATACCAGACTGGACTATACTAGTACTATACCATACTATACTACATCATACTAACCTATGCCATATTCACTCAGGAAGCAAGATCCGAAGAGGTTCTTTTGTCCTCGACACCTACCCCTGCAGCCCGACACCTCAGCAAACTACACGAATAGAAGAACCTGATTAAGAAACTTTGGATGTCTGTGATATACTATTTAGTATATAACAGCATTCCCTATATACTACTTTCTATATTCTTTATACTATATACTATATACTATACTACACTACCTGCACAGCCTCTTCAGGCAGTCGGCCACATCGTCGGGGTGCAAAGATCCGCATGCAGGCCCGGATCAGAAGTCACCCTGCCTGCGCTAATCCCAAGGCCTAAACCACAATATATATATATATATATATATATAATTATATATATATATATTATAGTGTGTAGTATAAAGTGATAATATTTTTCTTTTGTAACATGAACCAATGTCGAAAGCCTTTAACTGTTCCAGGAGCTTGCGAAGCAGCAGTGCCAGCCGCCCCAGCCTTCAAGGCGGCAACTGGCTGGGGATAGCAGCAATATGTAGGGGCTTGAATGACCTGAATAATTTTTGCCTGGATAATTGCAATCAGGGTTTAGGCGGTGTAGGGTTTCGGGTAATTAAAACCTGGATAATTTCAATCACTAGCCCCTTATTGTGCCGGTATGTTATTGTACTGTAACTGCGCACAGGCCTTGTTAAGATTATTGAGGCCCCACAGCGGACTTGCTGTAGTGGCACGGAACTAGCAAAATCGTATCTGGCATGCACTGGACGGCCTGTACGCGTTAGGGTTCAGTGGTTTAGGGCTAAACCGAAGTTAAGGCTTAAGACAGACGAAAACGGCGACCCCTCCGTTCATTGATGCTGTCAGGATCGATGCCGGAGTTGGTGAAGTCACCCCTTGTCTGCTTGTCTCGCAGGACGGACGGGATTTGGGGATGTGGTTTCTGGCTTAGGGTTCCGGGTTTAGCCAAGAAGGCACTTGTATGATCTCCACGAAAATGACTTGCATCATACCCGTGTCACACCCCTGAGATAGCTTCTGGAACTCCAGTTTACTTCACCATCATGCTTGTCCGATCGCCTCTTCCCGAGAATAATGGATGTGCCTTCGGGCCATGGTGTCATTTTATCAGGGCATTGGAAGTGAGGGTTCTTAATGCGGCACCTACAGCTTCGAAATGCGAACAAGCAAAGATAGTCTGATAATTTACTCCGGATCTTGGACGGAGGAAATCACAGCACCATCTGATCCCGCACGGCAGGTTTCGTATCATACGATCGGAAAGAAATTACCCTCGGAGTTGTCCCTCACGATGTTCCTCCCCAACTCCTCGTCGCACCCCGAGGTAATCCTGGTCTTGGCATTCGATCCCTTGTTATGATGATAGTATAGTATACCCCAGGCTCCTTATTATGATTATAGTATAATATACCCCAAAAAAATCCCTATTCTAACTACTAAGGCCCCTACATTCTCCAGCTATGACATGTTGGCTCTGCTTGTTGCAGGCACAGCAGCCGGAGAAGGTCGGGCGGCATCTGTGAGAGTCTGATGATGACAACGATGGTTGTGATCATGACGTTGGTGAGAACAGGGAAGGAGATCGTGCTGGGGATCATGATGGTTCAGTACTTTGACTGTGGCACGGTGGCTTTCTGACGCGATTGATTCGCTGTTATCTGCTTTGAATGTGCGGCGTTGTTAGACCTCCAGCAATGCGTGTAGGGTTTCATACTGTAGTCCCTGGCGGGCATATGCATCTTGCTGTTTTGCCTGAACCCCAAACCCGAAGCCCCAAGCCCTAAGCCACAGAATCCAGAAATCATCCTAAACCACAGAAATCCTAAACTCCATAAACCCAGAAACCCTAAACCGTAAACCCCAGAAGCCGTAAACCCAAAAAGCACATAAACAGTAAACCCTAAACCCCAGAAGCCGTAAACCCCAGAAGCCCTAAGCCCTAAGCCCCAGAAGCCGTAAACCCTAAACCCCAGAAGCCCTAAACCTTAAACCCTGGAAGCCCTAAGCCCTAAACCCCAGAAGCCGTAAACCCTAAACCCCAGAAGCCGTAAGCCCTGGAAGCCCTAAGCCCTTAACCCCAGAAGCCGTAAGCCCTAAACCCCAGAGGCGGTAAACCCTAAACCCCAGAAGCCCTAAACCCTGGGGGCCCTAAGCCCTAAACCCCAAACCCCAAAGATGAAAATTTCTGATTCAAAGCCGCCTTTTCCCCTGCTAGGGCTGGAGCCGCAAAGCCCGGGAAGAGCTAGAGGATCGGGTTTAGGGTTTAGATTTAGGGTTTAGTGCTTCATGGAGGTTTTGGCGCTTACAGTTTAGGGTTGATGGTTGGGAAATGGTGGCTTGAGGATTCGGGTTTGAGATTGCGGGCTTGGGGCTTAGAATCTCGAGTTGAGGATGACTTCTCGTTTAAGGCTAGGGTTTCTAGGATTTGCGGTTAGGGACTACGGGCTTGCTTTTGAGGGTTTGAGATGTTGGGTCTAGGGTTTGGGATTCTGCATGGGTTTAGGATTATTGGCTTAGACTAAGGTTTATGGCTTGTGGTTCAAGGCTTGGTGGCTAGGTCTTGGGGTTTAGGCTTGGAGAGTTTGAGTGGGGCCCGGCGGGGCCTTTGGTCTCTGGTTTCAGGGTTTAGACGGGTTCAGGGTTTGAGATTAGAGGCTTTGTGTTTAGGGGTTGGTATGCGCTTCGGTTTCTAGGATTTCAGGGTTGGGATCTAGTTTAGGTTGGTGTCCGTGCTGCATCGTTCATCACATCTGCAGCGAGACAACCTGCTTGTTTCGAACGACGAGCTGATACGACAGACACGGTGTGGGGGTCTTGGTATTTACCTATACTATTTGGGCGGTTCCTTATTGTAATTATCGTATCACATACCCCAAAGCCCCATTCTATTTTCAAGCGCCTCTACATTAGCTGCCTCTTCAGGCACTGCACCTCTGCGTTCTGGCCTGTGATCTTGCTCTTGCCGCTGCGGCTGTTCCTGAACCCACAGCCGAAACCAGCCACAGCCGAAGTGTAAGCTAAGTCTCTGACTGTGCTGGACTGCTGCTTCGGATGCCGACAGCTGCAGGTCGTACCTCTTACATCCCTTCTTGTTGTCACCTTGTGGAACTGGTAGTCCTATTCCTGTAACTGACACAATCACGGCATGCTGATGAAACCTCCTCTCGCGCAGACCCTGCGCCGGGCGGATGCCAAGCTTGCACGTCGACTGGAAGATTTTCTGAGCAGGATTTCCGGCGAGGTCGGAAACCGAGTGTTGTTTCTGCCGTTTATGCAGTGGTTTGAAAGAGTTGCAAGCTGCAGCGCAAGACAACGGTTTTAGATTCGATCGGTGAGGTTCACGATGCCGCTGCAGCCAGTCAGCAGAAGAGCGAGGCAAGATGCACATGTACGCTGGCATTTCGTGCCGCGATAATCAACAGTTTAGTATCTAATCGTACAGTGCGGATTACTAATTAAATAGTGTTAATGTGCTCTGCCCGGCGGAACAGCAGTGCCACCAGCCCGAAAATGATCAGCCCTTTGTGCATCTAGAATCTCGGCTGCTGAGTTTCGGAAGCAGTAATGTTCATATTAACACTATAATGCTACTATTGCGATGCTACTATTGCGAATTCGATTAACATGAATACTGGGTTTAGTCTCAACATTCTCATTTTAACATTGTAGCATTAATATATTAGTATTAGTGTTCATATAGTTTTGTTATAATTAATAACATTTATCTTAAAATTAGCATTAGCGTTGATATTGGTACTAGTAGAGAGATTAAGAGTAATATCAATATGTCAATAACAATATTAGAATATGAATGTACATGTTCATAGTATTAATTTTGTACGAATATTTATGGAAGTATTAACATTATCATTAACATTAACATTCTATATCAACACTAATAGTAATATTAGTATATTATGTCTTAACCTCCGAGCGCATGAAGTCAGTCTCAGCGATTCGGCTGAGCTTTCTCCATCCAATCACTCCGTTCGTGTTCGTGGTGATTAAGATGTCTGTTGGGACACTGACAGCTGCCTCTCGTGCAGGCCTTCCGCCGTCTAGATGCGCAGCTCGCGCGCCGACTGGAGGAATTTCTGGTCAGGGTTTCGGGTCAGGTCAGAGGCTCAGCATTGTGTTGTTCGTTTCGATGCTTGCAGGTTAGCAGGGCACAGGTTGTGGAGTCTTGATTCGTCATTCGAGGTCCAGGCGGCTGTGGCATCCAGCGAGAAGCAGTGGCAGGTGGGTTGTGGGGGCTGAATGCAGCGATTTCCTGCCTGCGACAATGCAACCTTCTGATCTTTGCAATAATTAACAATTAATTAATTACAGCAGCTTCGGCACAGTTCCTTTGAAGCCCTTGTCCAAGGTTGAATTGCTGCAGGGTTTAACCCTGCGACTGCCTGCGCATCATTTCCCACCGATTCTGCTCTGCCTTTTCAGAGTCCACCGCGATTTGACCTTCGACAGTTTTGCTACACTCGCATTGGACACAGAACAGACAGCATGTTGATGAAGGTGCCTGCACCCCAGACATCACCCGGTCTGGATGCTCAGCTCGTGCGTCGACTGGAAGAAATTCTGGGCGGAATCTCGGACGAGGTCGGACGCCCAGTTTTCTCCTCTACTGCACAGGGGTATGATATCCCCAAAACCTAAACCCTATACTAATTCATCCTGGTTGAGGTTCAGGAAGCAGTGGCCTCCAGTGAGAAGAAGTGCCAGGCAGGAGATGCCGTTTTGCGGGGACTGCATGCTGGGGTTTCCCTGCGATGAGCGATGGTGACAACCTGTTCCGTGCACAGATTGCTCCGACAGAGCAGTTTAGAAGTTTTGCAGCGGCACTTCCAATGTCACAGGGTGTGTTAAATATTAATATATACATATATGCATACATATATACATATATATATATATATACATATGTATATATATATATACTTATTGGTCTGAATGCATGTTAATGGTTGTATATCGCACCCCCAAAGCCCATTTTTACTCATTCAGGCCCCTATAAACCCTAAACCGTAAACTATTCAGGCCGCTATAAACCCGAGGCCGGCGAGGAGGGCCGCGGGCCTCTTTTGGAGCCGTGAGCGCGTAGTTGTCGTTTTGCTGTCCTCTCTGCTTCCGCTTCCCGCGCTCATGCGCACTTTTTCGTCAGCCTTTCGCCCGCCTGAGCCGGGGGGGGGGCTCTGCCGCACCTCAGGCCGGGGCTGTCTTCCTTTCGCCT